GGAGGCGGGGCGCGGAAGACTTCCGGCGTATTTCCACTGATTGCGAACCTGGAAAGCTTCGAAAAAGGCTTATTTTCGACATTTTCATGCTCGGAAAAGCTCAGATGTGTGTGAGTTTCTCATGGCGAGAAGGCCCCGAAAATACAAAAAACTGGAAAACAAAATTTTGCCGGGACACACTACCTTTAATTTAGATCACCCAAGTAGTACAAGATGTCTAGGTATCCAGATTTACTGTCTGTTTGGGACTATGGAGAAAAAGTTTGCACATGTCGTTTGATCCTCGTAGAGTTGAGGGAATCATTAGGACTTGTTGAATTTCTGTAAGATTTGGCTAACTATACGGCTTAAAGCATCGTCTTGCAGATTTTACTGGATGGCTATGGGAGCTTGCAAGTCATTTGATATCACTGGTGATGATGTGATATATATAACTATGCCTATGTATCACTCAGCAGCTGGAATTATGGGTGAGTGATGGTCATAGACTGCATTTATCGCTTCGTTAAGTGCTCAAACATGCTTTGATTCAGGTATTGGCACTGTAATCGTGTCTGGGACAACGGCTGTGATTCGTAAAAAGTTTTCTGCAAGTAACTTTTGGAAGGACTGTGTAAAATACAATTGTACTGCAAGCCAGTATATTGGAGAAATATGCAGGTTACTATACTTCGGAACTTTTTGCAAAGTTCTCTTTGTTTAAAAAAACGACGTCAACTTTTACCTGCATGATTGCTTTGGATTGCTGCTTTTTTTTCAGAAAGAAACAAAAAATTTTGTCTCGTGGATCTTCTTTTTCTTATTGCTATAATTAATATTCATTGAATTTTGTTTTAGGTACCTACTTGCTCAAAAACCCTGTGAAGAAGAAAAGAAGCACAAAGTTCGCCTTATGTGGGGTAATGGCCTTCGAGCGGAGATTTGGAATGAGTTCGTGTCACGATTTGGTATAACGAGGATCGGAGAGTTATATGGCTCTACTGAGGGCAATTCTAATATAGGTGAGGGAGT